ATTTAGAGACTCCCTTGACATTTTGATTTGCTGGACACCTTTACTAGAACTTTCAATAAAGTCTGAATATGAGAACCCAGACCTTTAGCCCCAGATTTTACTTCCTAGTTTTCCTTGGAATAGCATGTTCGTATTCAGACCCATTCTGGATTACTTAAATGTATCTTTCTTGTTATAATTATTTCAAACACAGGTAGCATAAAGTTAATGCTTCTCAAGCTGAGGTATGCATCAGAATCACCTGAAAAACTTTGAAATGCATCTTGCCTACCCTCCTCCCCGAGTTTCTGATCCAGAAGGTCTGGTCTGGGAACTGAGAACTTGCATCTCTAATAAGTTTGTAGCTAGTGCCCTTGCAACTGGTCTAGGTGCCACACTTCGAGAATATTAGGGTGTATCTTTTTAATAATGTAGTGTCAAATTGCTATGTTTTCTTCTGTGTATTGTTAAACAATCAATTCAACATATAGGTTCAATTAGTTTCACTTTCCCTTTGTAGACAATTTTTAAATTATTTTGATTTAATGTTTTTTTTATAATTACATACAACATTTACATGATTCCCAAAGTCAAATCTACAAAATACAATAAATTCAGACAAATCCCAGCACAAGAAGTTAAGTCTCAACACTATGAGACTATCCGCAGTCACTGCAGCACAAGTTCCATCCCCAGCCAGGGAGCTGACCCACATGGCGCAGCAGACCTCTCCTGTCTCACCCTCTGCTCCCCTCAGCAGTGTATTTCAGTAGATCCACCTGTTCTGTGCCCCACTCTGTCTCTGGTGAATCATTTTACTCCCCGCCACACACACACCTCTGGCCTATACCCCAGTTCTTGTATGCATAAATAAATAAATATTTTTTAAAAAATAGTCATCATTAGTTAATTGTAGAGGCCGGATAGATGAGAAGACATAGAAGTTCAGATTTGAGGGTAGAAATTGGAGGTCTGGTCAGGAGCCCATCCTCCCAGTGCTTCTACTTACCTCATCATGAAAGTACTTTGGAAAGAATAGAACAATTACAATATAAAATGTGAAATATGTTATTGCTGTAGTCAGTCTGGAACATAATCAAATAGAACTGTAATGAAGAAACTGTCAGCCTGCTTCTAAAATAACCCACTCATAAATCGGCAGTTCTTTCTATTTAAAGATATTACTTCATTTTACATTTGTCTTTAGTAAATATTTCAGGTCTGAATGGCATCTACTTTGCTTTTATGACTTCAATACTGCCTTTCCCCTGTGCCTCAGGTCCCTGGTGGTAACTAATGAGTACCTGCTGCAGCAGCTGAATAAAGAGCAAAAAGGTTATTCCGGGAAAGCACTCCTCCCGCCTGAGAAGAGCCACCATTTGGGGAGATCGTCACCCTTTGGGAAAAGCTCTCTGTCTTCCTCCTCACCAGTGGCACATGACACGGGTCAGTATCTAATACAGAATGTCTCAGACTCTGTCCCAGAGCCAAGTTTATGGAACTAGTACTGAACACCTTTCCTGCAGCTTCCGTCTTAGCTACAGGGCCTCCCAGTCCCATTGCCACTAGGACAGTGGTTTTTACTACAAGCTTAAGAAAAAAAAAAATTATTCTGATTACATTGTATTGGTCCTTCTTTTTATTTCTCATTCTGTCTCCTCCCATGGAGTCATTTTTTCCTTCTGCCTACAGAAATAGTTGGTACTTTGTCCTAGTCATTGTGTCACATAGAAATATTTGGCTGAAAAAAAAAAAAAGAAATAATTTGGCAAAAAGAAAAAAAAAAACAAACACCAGACCTTTTTCTTCACTGTCACTGGAAACTGTATAATAGGCTACACAGGTTAAAAAGTAACATCCTTGGTTAGATGTGTTTCTTTTTAGAAGAAATTTTAAATATGGATTTTAGAATCCATGTTTATTGGTTTATCAAACATGTTTTAAGTTTCCTCTCACTATAGTGAAAAGATGATACAGTCTTGTGTCTGCCCTGAAGCAGCCAACATTTAATCAGGAAGAAAAGCAAAAAATCCTGTGATGGAATTCTGCGCTTGGCATTGGTACCAAACAGGTCTAAACAAAAGCCTAAAGATGCCCTGGAAAGAGAGAGATGTGAGTTACTCCTCCTCTGGGGAATGGAGAAGGTGTCAATGAGACGTGTTGAGTAGACAGGGATGCAGAGCCTCCCACCTAGAGTTGGATTCTGGACACCCCCGAGGGAAGCTGTGGCTCATGAGGCCTTGAGAGGACAGGGGAACTGTCCTAGCCTGGGAGGTACAGTGTCAGGACAGTGTGCAGTAAAGGACCGATCTTTCAGCTGAGACCAGTAGAATGAATGGAAGGTTACTAGCCAAAGCATAGGGCCAGGGCCACAGGCAGTGGGAGAGCTGCAGAGAGAAACAGCTTGTGCAAAGGCCACGGAATGGGAAGGAACATGATCTATTCAGGGAACCGAGGGACTGAGAGGAGATGAGGAGATAAGCAGGAGTGAGGTTGCGCAGATCCTTGAGGATTTTAGAAGTCGAAGAGAGAGGAGCGGCAGACTCGAGTTTGAGAAGCTTTCTCTGTAAGAACGGATTGTTGGTGTGTGGAGTGGGGTTGAGGGGAAGGAGCAAGCGAGGGATGAGAGAGAGGAGCGAGGGATAAGAGAGCAGCGAGGGATGAGAGAGAAAGCTGGTACAGTCTAGCCCAGAGATGAGGCTTCTGAACATTAGCTTTGGGCTCAGCTTGCTCTTTACACACAAGTACCTTGTATTTCAGACACAAGGTACAATCTTTCTTTTAATCCTAATTGGGCATTTTAAAAATCAATGGGGAAAGATAATGGAAGTGTTTCTAAGAATGGTTCTGCTTCAGTGGTCACCCAGACAGCTATTGTTGCCAGAGGGTGTATTGAAGGCAAAGGACTGTCGACCTGATGCCATGTTACACCGCTCTTCATCTTCAAGGTCATGTCAGAGAGAGTAGGCGGGAAGATTAGACACTCATTTTGCTCCCCTGACCCGGGTGCTGTGCAGGGGACAAGTATGGATTGCCATAATAATGAGACCTGAGATCATAACCAAGATCACACATTTCTAAGTTATAAATAAAATTCACCCACCTCTGGATTTTATATGGATTCACATAAGGAGACTGTATCAAGGAGTCATGCGATTCTTTGAACTGCGTGTGCCTGAGGAAAGAGTGAGCTTGTACACTGGAAATGTTAGTAAGAATGACCCCCAACCCTACCACTTTCCTGGGTCTGTCCTCCAAGGTTAAACCTTACCGTAGAGTGAGGACAGCTTCAGTCAGTACCTTCCAACTCTAAGTTGTCATATTTCAAGGTCCCAGCCCAATGCACAGACCAACCTACTGGACAGAACATCAGGGGAAAAGTAATTCTGCAATTCCAACCCTTACCTCCTTCCCCATGAGCATCTGACACCAGCCCAAGAACCTAGTCATTTCCTCCAGGCTCCTTGACAACTTGACAAGAAGAAGAGGAGGCTGTTGTCCTTGAAGGTAAAATTTGAGGGGGCTGTCGGTTCTCCTTATGAGTTCCTTAAGTCACACTGCCAGTCACAGGAGGGGCACATCCCTGCTCCCATACATATTAGATGCTACATTCGCCTACAGGTTAATGGCTGGGAGTCTTGTTCAGTTTGAAATACAGTTAAATTCCCTTTACTGTGAGGATACTTTAGTGAGAGCTGGATGGATTTGGGTTTCACTTCTATAATGCTCATTTAAGTAAGCTTTCACATTCAAAGACTAGAGGAATTGTTCTTCCTAATACTTGCCGGTAGGAAAGTTAGAGTTCTCTGAAACTCTTCTGTAGACAGTTCAAGGCAATGTGGGCAGTGAGTCAAGAGGAGCCCACAGCTGTCAGTTTCAGGCAAGGCTCTGCCGGGGCCAGTGCTGATTGCTGCCTTTTAATTCCCACCTCACCTTCCTGGTGTCCCCGTCTGGAGCCATGGTATTCCTCCACACCCCCACTCCCAAGGGAAGTTGGGCTCACCTGGGGCAGAAACACCCTAGAACAGCCTGTGGGATGAGGAAATAAACAGTTGCTCAGCTTTGCCTTGTTACCTGGCTCAGGAAAGGAGGTATTTGCGAGCATGTGCTTTTAAGCCTTTTCTAACACCCTCGGGAGCTGCCTCGCCTGGGCAGGCCCTAAGTCCCATCCAGCCCGCTTGTCACTGCAGGAAGGGAAGGAGAGTTGGCCCCACAGCCTCAGGCTTTGGAATAGCTCTGACCTAATACCCAGAGTCTCAGAGAGGAGAAAAGTTTGATCCAGAGACTCCAAGGATTCCTCAGGACCAGCGAAGCTCCCACATTCCTCCCAACCTGGGACGCTGAACAAATGAGAAGGAATCAACCAGAGGAAGTCCCTTCACTGTTCGGTACCCTGTGCCCTGCCAAAGGCTGGTGTTGGGTGCCAAGCTCTGTCACTGGACATCTAGATGCCATTTTGGAAATCAGTGGGGCTTGCTAAGTGAGAACGAGCCTGGCCTGGGAGGCAAGAGGCCTGGTTCCAGCCTTATTCTGCAGAGGCCCTGCCACGCTCTAGACCTGTTTCCTCAGCTATAAGGTAGGGAGGAGTTGTTTATTCTTCCTGGCCCTGCATTTTCAGATATTCTGAGCTGGACCCCAAAATGGCTTGCCTTGGTGCCTCCCTTGGGTGGGGGTCTAGACCTGAGGCCTGGCACTGGGCTTCTGCCAATGTTTGACCCAAGCCAAGTCTGCTGTCTCATCCCTCTTCCTGTTACGAAAGTGAAGAGGCTGAGACTGAGGTCCTAACTGGAGAAAGCAAGCTGTGATGTTAGAACTCTGGGTCAGGGCTGAGGTAAAGGCTGTAGGTTTCCCTAAGGCACATCCTCGGTAGTCTGTGTCTGTGCTCATGGACGGGACCTAGTGTGTCTTTCTGGGTACGGCTGCTTGTGGCAGCATCAGCAGGGTGTGACACACATGTGACGTGAGAGTTCAGTAGGTAGGAATGTTGTTACCCTCGTCAGCATATACCCAACCAGTCCATATTGGTACAAAAGGTGTCTTTATTGAGGTCTGGGTAAGATTTAGGCACTTGGCCAGAGCAGCAGCTTAAATATGAGGCAAGCAGGCAGGGGTCAGCCATGCCCAGGGCTAGGTTAGGGCGGTGAGGCTATAGGCACAGATTCTCCCCAGGTGGACAGAGGATAGGGAGGGACGAGGAAAGGGAAGGAGGCGCAGAGCAGTCTGGGTCAGAGGTCTGGTGGGCTGGCTCCATGAGGCTGGGCAGTAAGCGCTGGGTGGCAGGTCCAGCAGGGAGACCGGGCTCTCTTGCTCCACATGCCCCTTAGGCCCAGACCTGAGCCTCTGGTGGGGGCAGCTGTGCTGGGGGCCTCCCGAGGCTTTACTTCTTCACCTTGGCATCATAGGTGCCTGCGTTCTTGTAGGCACTCACGTAGCCACTGTCGTCCAGGATGTCCTGCCGCCCAGCAATGCCCTTGCCCTTGCCGCTCTCGTCGAAGCGCTCCTTGTGGGAGCCCGTGTACTTGCTGGTGTCGGTCAGCCGTTCCACAGCGCCCCCTGTTTTTGCTTTCTGTGTTGACAGAGTTCCCCCAGGGACACTTGATTAGGGAGCCCAGCCCTCCCACTCCCAGTCGAGAGCCCCCACAACTCCCTCAGTGCCCACCCAAACCCAGCAGGACACTTACGGTGACGCCCACATTGGCCGGTTCCTTGCCTGCCACCAGCTGGCATATGGCATCGAAGGCCTCCTCCTTGCTCTTCCCCTTGAACCGCTTGCTCGCCAGCTCTTCCAGGGCCTTCTTGAACTCCTCATAGTTGATGACCCGAGCAGACTTTGCCCTGTCATGTATGTGGCACCGTGAGTTTCCGCCCTTCCCTCCCGAGTTCCAGCCCCCCGACTCCCAACCTCTGGGGACATCAGAAGCAGGGACTCTCAGAGGCTCACTTGACTTTGGAGAAGACAATGTCAACGTCGGTCCCTGTCACGGCCTTTCCATCAGCCACCTTGCAGTCCTTGCACAGCTTGGCCCAGTTCTTGCCATTCATCTCTTGCCCACTGGCCTTGGGGTCGCCATGGATGGCAAACTTGCGGAAGCTCTCTTCCAGCCCGGCCACATCTGTGCTCGCTGCCATGCCACCCTGCAGAGACCCACCTCAGTCATCTCCCAGCCGAGCTGCCGCACCCCAAGGCACAGAACGTAAAGGCCACCCCTTCAAAAGCTGCAAAGTGAGTTGTGGGCACTTCTGCAAAGTACCCTGCCAGTTGGAGCTGGGGTTGCCTGGGAAAAGGGGCCAGCACTTAGTGTCTCCCCGGGCCCCAGAACCCCAAGAGGAAAGGTCCTGTTGCTCAACGCCAGCCTTGGCATCTGAGTGGAGTTCAGAAGATGAAATCATGATGCCCACACCAGGCTGGGAACAGAGTAGCACTGTCCAGAAAGACTGTGAGGGCAGCAGCTGGGGCCATGGCTTTGTCTGGCCCTGGAACAAAGCCTGCTTGGGGGGGAAGTGAGGGTGGCAGAGCAGGCCCCCCTCCCTGGGAGTCCCATGCCAAGCTGGGTGAAGGCCATGCCAGGCTGCTGGTTGGGCAGGTATTTAGTGAGGAAAGTGTCTCTGTCAGGTCATGAGGTCCCAGCAAGACTCAGCCCAGGCTGAGAAGGAAGCCAGAACACAATCAGGGGTGCATGCCCTAGGCAGGGGTGCAGCTGGCCCAGCCGGGACCTTGTTACTATTTGCTGTTAAACAAAAACATGAGGGGAGCCGGAGCTTGGGGCTGGCCTGGCCACAGTTTGTGAAGCCTGGAGACAGTTGCTAAGGGAGGGTGGTGCTGCTTGGAGAATGTTGCTAAGGGCAGCATGGTGTCAGGGCGGCTCAGGGAGAAGCTCCCAGTGCTGCTGGGCTGGGCTGGGCTGGGGAGCAGGGGCCCACGGGTGGGGCGCCCCAGCACTCCCAGTGCCTGGGGCACAACCGTGGCTTCCTGGCCCCTTGCCACCCATTGGGGCTGTAAACTCCCAATCTGTGGAGTTTTAGGAGGCACAGGAGATTGGGGGGCTAGTTTTAGTGGGGGTTGCAGAGTTATGAGCCCCCAGAAGCAATGATGGCGAGTGCGACTTTGGCCTTGGCCCTGTGATCCTCACACCTATGGCCTGGACCAGAGCACGCGTCCCCTATGTCTACACCATCAGCCCTCCATGCGGCCTCCCGGCCACACCCTGAGCACCGCCATGCCCGTCCACACTGCCACAGCCCTTGTGTGCTCAGCCCGGGCTCTCCACCCTGGGCCTGTTCCCCTTGACCACACCCTTCACCTAGTGCGGACACCTCCCTGCCCATACCCCCAGCCCCGCACTGATGTGCTCCCCGGTAGGCCCCACTGCGGACCCCTGATCACACTTGCCGCCCTGCACTGCAGCTGCCTCCATCCACACTCCCACAGCCCTGGCATGGGAGCCTGGACCATTCCCTCAGCATCTATCCCCCCACACACTAAGAGCCCTGTACTGAGCCCCCCTCATATCCTCAGCCCTGCTCTGGAGTGTTTCCCCACACCTCCACAGCCCCCGCGGCAGTCGCCTGGCCACACCTGCAGCCCTGTACTGGAAGTGCCCTGTGTAACCCACACAGCCCAGGACTGAGGCCTCCCTGACCACACCCTTTGCTTGTATTGCAGCTGCGGCCCCGGGACGGAGGCCCCTGTCTGCACCCCCACAGCCTTACATCCCAACCAGAGCCTCGCCCCTTGCCCCTTCTCCACATACCTGAAGCCCCTGAGACACAGCCTCGCACCCCCCCCCAGTGTCCACACCCACAGACGTCCATTTCCACAGTCTCAGGTACTATTGTGAGAACCCCCTGTGTTGAGGCTCCCTGACTTCACCCCACCCCCATTGCAGTTGCCTGACCACACCCTCAGCGAGTCCTCAGAGCCCAGCTTCTACTGGTAAGGCCTTTCCTGCGAGAGCTTCCACCCAGCACAGCCTGGACCCCTGCCAGGCTAGCCCCCTTCTACTGCCACTGGCCTTAACATTGAAAACCCTCTCCCAGGGGCCACACTAGCTCACCCCGAAGTTGCAGTTTCTGAAACTGGTAGCACCCACAGCTCCTCCGCTGCAGGGACTCTGGGGGCCCACAATCCTGGTCCACACTGCACCCCCGGTTCCCTCTCCTACAGCCTCCCGCCGGGCACCCAGAGACCTGAAGCTTGATTCACCAAGGGTAAAGTCTGGGGGAGCTCGCGTGCCCCAGGATGCTTGTCCCGGGGAACTGGCAGGATCCCGCATCCAGTGCTCCTGTCTGTGGGAAGATGGAGTCTTGGTAATCCTCGGGCTGGTCAGGTGGCGCAGGGCGCAGGCCCGGGTCCCAGGGGGTTGCAGGCCGGGATGGCGGCCACACCCATGAGCTGGGGCTGTCCGCTCGCGCCCACTGGGACAGCTGCGGTCATCAATCACCGGGCGGGGGAGGGGGTGGGGGATCATGGGGTCCGGAGCAGGGCCCTCCGCGGGCGTCCAGCTCCGTTCCATGCGGGGCGGGACCCCTCCCAGGCCGCTCCCACCGCGCCCCTTCCTCATCGTGCAGGATACGGATGAGGGTGGCGGGCGCCCGGGTGTCCTACCGGCTTCTGTCTCGTGACTGCTGCTGCAGCGCGCGCTCGGCGGACAGAAGGACGTGAGCGTGGACTGACGGACGCGGGGGACCAGGCGGCTCCGCTGCTCTGCTCCCTGCCGGCTCCGGGGCGGGACTGCAGCCCGGGCGGCTCCGCCGTATTATCCCCTGTTTCTCGGTCTCCATGGAGACGGAGTCCCACCCCCGGGGCCGTCTCGGCGCGAGTGACCAAGGTCACGCTGGCTCCGCCCCGGACACCGCCCTCGCGGCGCCGGCGCTCCCGGGGCGGGGCGCGGCCTCGGCCTCGCGCGGGGGACCGGCCTCCGCGCCCGGGCTTCCTCGGGGCGCCGGGTGACGGGAAGGCGGCCCCCATCGCTCTTGGGTTCCGCCCAAAGTTCAAAGCGGGTTGCCGCCGTCTGGAAGATCAGTTTCCCCGAGCTGCAGCCCGAGCGCGCGGGGGCGGGGGCGGGGGCGGGAGGGTGGGGAGCGCGGGGGGTGCGGGCGGGGGGTGCGGGCTGGGGTGCGGGGGAGCGCGAGGGTCCTTGCGCTCGGTGCCTGGCGTGTGGCGCGGACAAGATAACTCTCCCCGGTCACGGCCCCCCTTCCTCCAGGGCAGGATCCGGAGCCCGGAGCGCTGGGGACAGGAGGGTGCGAGGAGCAAATCCCGGGCCCAGCTCGGGGTCCCGGGGCGCCCACGCGCTCCTGCCCCCGGGACGGCCTCCTGGGTCGCTCGGGCGCGCGTGCTCCCCTCCCAGCCCGCCTGGGGTTGGCGTCCCCGGCTCTGCCCTCGCGCAGCCGCCGGGGCCAAACTCGGCTTAAGTCTCCGAGCGCAAACCCCGTCCTCAAGAACGCCTCCTCCAGGCCGCCTTCCAGGACCTCGCCTGGGCGGGAGCCGCGTTCTCGAGCGTCTCGGGTCCCCGTGTACCGCCCTGTGACGACGGGGCGGGCACCCACGGGCGGGGGCTGGGCTGCCCGGCCGCGGCCCGACTCCAGGGGGGCCCGCGGTCCCCGGCGCTAAGCAAGCGCGCGTGAAGTCCGCAAAAGCATAAAAAAAGTTTATTGGCGCATCACGACGGGGAGGGTGGGTATTGCTGAGTTGGGGGGGGGCCGATCCCGCCGGCCGCAGGGACCCCTAAAGTGCACTCGGTTCCGCGAGGGTGAGGGTGTTGCATAGAGTCGGGCCGGCCGCCGCTCCCCGGCCCTCCTGCCGCTCAGCCCGGCCGGGAGAGCCCGGCCTCGCCGCCGCCGCGCGCCCCGGGCTCGCCGCTGCTCGGGCTCACGAAGACGGCTGGCGCCCGCGGCGGCAGAGCCCCTCGGGGCTCCCGGGCCCTGGCCCCGGGGGCGGCGAGGGCGGCGCTGCCCAGGCGCGTCTGCGCCACGGGAATCTCGTCCATGGACTCGGCGGAGGCCGAGCGGCAGGAGCCCGCGGGGCCGGCGCGCACCGGGCTGGCGCCCGCGGACTCCGAGGACGAGCTGGAGCGGCTCCCCCGGGCGCCGGGCCCTGCGCGGGGGGAAGGGGACGTGAGGCCAGGTTGTGTGTGACGGGAGCCCACCGTTCCGTCCCTCGGGGCTCCCCGCGGGCTCCGGACGCTCAGGGCCGCTCACCCGGCTGCCTGGGCGGCGGCGGCCCCGGCTCCGCGGCCCCGGAGGTCGGTGCCTTATACACGCGCCTCTTCCTCTTCTTCTGCAGAGACAAGGGGAGCCTGAGTGCCCGTCCCCAGACGCCGCATTGCCAAAAGAAGCGGAGTGGGGCAAGTAAAGGTTCCTTTCCATCCCCTGCGCCCTGGGCTTGGGGCCCAGGCCTGGTCCCCCCTACCTGGGGTCGCATCCTGGGGGGCAGAGCCAGAGTCTCTGGGGAGGACGGTGGTGGAGGCTCCACGTGGCCACTGGTGGCGAGGAACCCAGAGGGACTGGGGGGAAGCAGGAGGGGAAGAACTGAATTACTGTTCCCTCATCCCTTCCCCACACCACCCACCCACGGCCGCCATGTCAGACAAATCATCTGTCCTGGCGGAGAGGCAGAAAGGGGCATTGCTCTGTTCAAGGTCATGCTTGAACATATCTGGTCAAGGTCATGCTTCAAAGTCCAGCTGGGCTGGACCAGAGCTGGGCCTTGGCCTACCCCTCTCCCATCTCAGGTGGCCACGACAACAGGAGATGCTCATGTGGCACTCACTTGGCATTCGCTGTGGCGGGCCTGACCTGGCCAGAGGCCCCTGAGCGCACATGGCTGAAGGTCCGCATGTAGAACTCCATCTCCTGGGGAAGGTGGTGGGAAAAGAGGCTGGAAGGTCAGGTGTGGGTGGACCCAGGGCCTCTGGGTCCTGTGACACACACCCCACCCCCACCAGCCCCACAATCCCGGACACTGTGAGAGGACTAGGAAGAGAGGTCTAGAAATCTGCCCCTCCAGGCTTCCCTGCTCTGCTGGGAGAACCCCTATGCAAGGTGAGACTGAAAGCATCTATGTCTGGACCCCACCCCCTCCCCACAGTCACCCTCACTTCATGAAGTCAAACTCCACCTCCTCCAGGAAGCCACAGCCCCATGGGTCCAGTGTGCGCAATATAGGGTTGTTCTGGACTGTTCTGGACAGTGAGAAGAGGCACTCAGAGCTGCTCTCTCCTGTTCCTGACCCCTCCCAGGGCTCCAGCCTCTGAAGCATTTTTTTCCCCCGCCTGGGAGACAAAGCAGCTGTTCACAGGCCATAGGTCAGGGTGTACACCCGAGACTGTGTGCAGATTGATGGCTCCCTAGGAACGGGGGCCTGGGCACACCCTTCATGCACCGTGAGTACCAGCTGCGATCTCCGCTGCTGTGCATCTGTGTTGGGCAGGCAGGTGGGGCAGGGTACACCCTTACATCCTGAACCGCATGTAAGATTATGGCAGAACTCAGTGCCTTGTGTAGTCACTGACGCTCAGAGCAAACTGGAAACGGGAGACCCAAACTCTGACAGCCAAGAGGCCAGAGGTCTGGAGGTCGCAGGGGCGGCCTAGGCCTGCCTCCCAGCACCAGGGCCCTGCCCTAGTTGGGCCAGGACTGCAGGTGAGGAGACAAAAGCCAGGAAAGAGCCGCCCGGGAAGGGCGTGGTGCGGAGGGCACATGGGTGGAGCCAGGACGGTGAGGCCCCGCCCAATAGGCGGGTGGGGGGGGGTGCACCGCGGGCACTAGGACAGCTGTCGCCTGCTCGGCAGCCGTTTCCATGGAGACTCAGGCGTCCTGACTAATGCAGATGACACTGTAACAGCAACGCTGCCGGCCGGGCTGCCGTCTCTAAAACAAGCCTATGTTTGGGGGCAACGGCTGCAGAGTGGGGCCCCTCCCGCATTCCTGCATAGGATGGGGGTAGGGAGGCTGCCTCTGGGGCCCTGGGAGATCTGGGGGACAGAGCCCAGCCTGCCAAGGTCTGGCTGTGCAGAGACTGAAGCACCTGGCAAGCCCCAGGCCCGTTCTCTGCCTGTGCTGACCCTTCGGGGAGGAGCGCGGGGCTGCCAGCCTGAGCAGAGGAGCTCTGGGAAAGAGGAAGGGGTCAGAGGCCAGTCACAAGGACTGGAACCTCAAGGGAATCTTCCCCCACATCTCTCCTCTTCCCTATCGTGGACTCAGCTCCAAGGCCCCAGCAGACAAGGGCAAGGCCTATCCTGACGCCCCTGAGCTCCAGAAAAGGGGTGTGTGGGGGGGGGCAATAAAGGACATTCCTAGCGGCCTAAGGGGTCAGGAAGGAACCGGAGTCAGTTCCTAGCCAACTGGGGAGATCTGAGGGTGTCACCGGAGTGTCCCCTCTCAAACCCCTCGCCCCTTGTCACAGCTACCCCTAGGACCCTCCCGCGGAGACCTGAAAGCTGTGCATTCCTGGACGCACGTGGCACCTCGCCACCTCCGCGCTCTCCTCTGCTCAGCGCGCAAACACCTATCCTCCCTGCGGGCAGCGCGCCCTCGAGTCGCTTGCAGAGGATGCTATATGTCCTTGCTGCCAGGACATCTGACCCCAGGGCAGGGGCGCAGATGCTCCTATCTGAGCACCCCAGAGCCAGCGTGGCCCCAGTGAGCACCGTGAAACCTGACCAGGCCCCCTGCCGACTCCCGGAGCCAGCCTCCTCCACAAGGCAGGGAGGAGGGTGAGGCCCACTCCCCCGTGGCTGCCGACACTTGCCTGGGTTCAGTGCTAGGCCCAGGGCAGGTGTACGGTGGTAGAGCGGGGGGGGGCTCTCCACCAGCAGCCAGAACTCCCCCGGGTCTGGCAGCCTGGTGCACCCCTGGCCCTGGGAGCAGGAGAGGCGGGGTCCCCAGCCCTGCCCCAGCCCGCCCACCAGCCTGTGTTTGTGTCCAGTTGCCATGAGGACTTGGGATCCAGGGCTCAGCCTTCCCAGCAAGGCCTGCCTGGGCCCCCTGCCTTCCCAGTCCCTAGGGGAGGGGGGGGACTAATCACCCCCACCCCAGCTGCTGACCTCAGGAAGCCACGGGGCGTGGGAATATGGACAGGCTGGTCAGCAGCTGGCCTGGGCCAGACCGTTCCCGCTGAAGAGCACAAGACCTGAACTCGTCCCGGGCCCGGCTGCTGCGTGACCCTTCCAGGCCCCAACACGCGCGCTAACACTACCTGCCCGGGGGCTACCTTAAGGGCTACGCGGGGTGGTGGGTGTATGGGCTCAGGGTTCTAGGCACGAAGAACGGAGAGCTTCATCCTCGTGTCCCAGTGGCAGGCCCGGTCCTCGCCGCGCCTGCGGCCCCAACCCGCCCGCTTCCAGGCGCCCACGCTCCGCGCCGCGCCGCCCGTGCTTGGGCGGGATGGCCAGTGCTTCAGGCCGGGGACACGGAGGGCTCCCTCTGCCGTGCCCACACTAGGGCCGGCAGGCGTGTGCTCAGTCCGGGGACCTGGCTCACCCCAGCTGCCCCCAGCACCCCCGCCGAGCTGCTGTTCCTGGCCGGCCTCCTTCGGCCGGTCTCCTCATCGGCTGCTCGCTGAACAGCGCACGCTCCTCCCACGCCCGGGGCCCCTCTCCCGCCCTCTCAGCCCTACCTGAATGGGCCGCATCTTGGGGGGACATGACTCCAGCTCCCTGTGGGTCCCCTTTGCCTCCTGTGGTGGGCGATGCTGCACGATGTACTCGTAGGTGGTGAGCTTGTGCCACACTGAGGAGCGAGGAGAGGGCGCACTGTCGTGGGGCGGGCCCTGCTGCCCCCATATACACTAAGCCGTGGTGGGAAGGACACGGGCCACAGAGCCGGCCCGAGGAGGGGCATGGCCGCAGAGCTCGACAGCCCAGCTGGGCACCTCCCTCCCGCCTCAGCCCTTGGCCCCTGCGAGGCAGATGGGGGGGGACGGGGAGAGGGGACTTACTGAGGTAAATGTGGAAGCAGAGCAGGTGGCCGAGCAGGGCGGTGGAGAGCAGGCCCAGAAGGATGAGGAGGGCGGCCAGGGCTAGGATGGCAGGAGCCTGGGTCTCCACGGGGGCGGCCGGCAGGAACACAAACCACACATCTGTGTGATTCTTCAGGACTGCAAGGCACAGGCAGGCTGTGACCGGTGACCAGAACAGGTCCAGAGTTCGGGGGCGGGCGCGGGCCTGGAGCCCAGACTGACCTTCAAAATGGTGGTTGGTGCGCAGTCGCATGGGGTTGACAAAGAACTCCACAAAGACATACGTGGCCACCAGCACAAGGAGCAGGACACCCAACAAGGCGGACGCCACGCTGTGTAGAAAGAGCCTGGGCCCAGCCGAGGGCAGCTGTCAGCACCAGGTGCTCCAGCTGGATGAGGGCCCAGAGCTCAGCAGGGCCCGAGGCTGGGATGGGGAGCACGGCCTCTGACCCCACAGTCCCTCTGCGTCTCCTCAGAAAACCTCGCCTCACGGCCAAGGTGAAGCTGGACAGCCCCCAACAAGCTCCCTGGGCCGCCAGGAGAAGGACCCCCACCTGCCCCGTCATGCTGAGACAGCAGGCGCCAGGCACACCCCGCTCCGGCCGGCACACCCCCATGCGCTCCATCCGCAGGCCCGCCCCGCGCCGCCCCGGCCCGCCCCTGCAGGCTCGCGGGGCCGGCGCCCACCCGGGGCCCGCGCGGGCCGGCCGCGGCGCTCACCGGTAGTTCCTCTCGCCCACGCAGTTGTTGAGCCACTTGCAGTGGTGGTCGAAGCCGCACACGCACTTGTTGCAGGCGCTGCAGTGCTTGGAGCGAGCGCTCCTGCAGGGGGTGAGGGCGCAGCGCGGTCAGCCCCTCCTCCCGCCCGTCGCGCCCAACCCGCCCACTCCCCCTGCTCGGCGGGCCCGGGGAGACCCGCAGGACCAGCTCGGGGCTCAGTGCCCCCCCCCTCCCCGGCCGCCACCCCGCCGCGGAGCGCGGGCACAGGGAGCGCGCGCGCCCCCTGGCGGCTCTCCCGGGAGGGGCGGCCGGAGGCGGCGCTGCCGCGGCGACGTGGGTCCCGCGAGGTGGGAGCGGGAGGGAGCGCGGCGGGGCCCACTCTGTTCTGCGCATGCGGTGCGGGCGGCGTGACGAGGCCGGGGGGCAGGTCGGAGCAGGGCCGCGAGGACCAGGGCTTGCCCTGATCTTCCTGGCCTGTTTTTGAGCCCCTGTTTCCCTGCAGTCTCTGGCATTTTGCTGGCACTGCTCCGGGAAACCCCTGGGCTCACCCAAGGGAGCCCCAGGAGAGGAGCAGGCTGACTCCCAGGGAGCAGGTGGGGCAGTTCGCAGCATGAGGGGGGGGGGGCACAGCAGGAACGCACAGGAGACAGCCCAGGGAGGACCAGGGGAGCCCCGAGGGGGTGTTTGAGAGTGGGGCGCGACACCCTCCCCCGCCTCAGGACTGCCCGAGCATCCTGTGAGCAGCAGCGCGCTGACTGCACGCTCTGATGCCATCCAGTTCCCAGCACTTTAATGTCCCGGACTCCTCCAACAAGCTGCCCGGGTCTTCAGAAATGTAGGGTCGCCTTGACCACACCGCGTCCTGGAGCCCCTTCCTGAGGCTAAAGGCTGGGAGGCCCCGGGAGGGTGGGAAGGCGCCCTCCGCAGGCAGTGGGGGCAGCCCCGGGGAGGGGCTCTGACTTCTCACCCACTAGAACTGCGGCCTGGGCCAAGTCCCCTGGCTTCTTGGGCCTCGGATTCCTCCTCCACAAGTGAGAACAACCATCAGCTCTGGGGCCAGCTGTGAGTCTGGCTCTGCTGTTTGAATTCAGGCAGGCCCCTCAGCCTTCCTGAGCCGGGGCTCCCCTTCGTGCAATGAGAAAGATGCTGCCTACCACGAGGACCCCGCCCTGCAGCAGTACCGCAGCGTGAATCCCCTCCCCGAAAGTTTGCGAGAGACACTGACAGAGCCGGTCATTAGAAATCTTTGTGCCGGCGCCAAGTGTTTCCTGCCGCAACTGCTGGAAATGCTACTTCTTCATTTTCTGTCTCTAATCCCGCCCCTCTTTCTCCTTTACCCAAAAGTCTTCACTGTGTAAACACAAGGGTTCTGAGGCATTGGGGTGACTGTAGAGCCCTGGGCATGCTCCCGTGTGCCTGGAGCTCCTGCTGGCACAGACACACACACCGCAACCATCTCACTCACACATCCACGTCGCACAAATTGCAGTGCAGGTCTTCAATGACATGTGCGTGCTGGCTGCGATTGAAGATGGGCAGGGGCCCTGCATAGCTCTTGTCCCGCACGTTGGCATCTGCTGGATCGATGGAGACCGCGGTCAGATGCACCACGAGGTGACCGGCAAAGATGGCGCCCATGCACTGGCCCAGCAGGTTAAAGACTCACTCCACACTTTGCCAGCTGGGAGCCCCCCCATACCCCCCCACCCCGCTTCCTGTGGCCAGAGAACTGCCCTCCAATGGCTCTGTCTATGCCACCACCTACTTCCAGTCTCCTGAGAGCCTCGCATCAGACCTCTTCAGTATACCTCTGCCCCAGCTGGAAGAGGAGAGGGCCTGTCTGGGAACAGAGCTCACCAGCCAGCACTGCCGGCTGCTGCCGCCTCGGAGGCCAATCACAGGGCCCCAGTGTCACTGCTCTAGACCTCGGTCCGGCCCTTGCTGAGCTGACCTGGTTCCTGAACGGTGAGGTGAGTTTAAAAGAGATCCTCCTGCAAGGTTCAAGGACCCCAAGTGTAAGTTTAAATTTATGTATCTTGCTTTCACAGGAAGATGATTCCAGGAGGGAAGCACCCATCCCCTCTCAAGAGCCAGATAGACTCGTACCTGTGGGAGGTTCATATGCGCACCACCTCCCCCCAGCCTGGAGTCCAGGTACTTAGAACCCTGGGGTGGAGCACCTGGGATGGCCGATGCATGCAGGGCCTGTCCAGGGAGGGCAAGCCTAATTCCTGGAGCTGAGAGTCAGCTCTTCTAGAACCCATCTGCTCGGTGATTGGGCCAAATGCCGTTAACTTACTGCAATGTCTGAATGTGTAAAAATTCACCAAAAGCTTCTGCCTGGGCAGTCCTTCCCTTTTACTCATTCATCCTTTTCCCACCTAGCACTATCATCCCTCCGGCCACCCCCCTAGAGCCCAGTTACCCCACCTACTTTCCTCCCTTCCTGCTCCTCCCAGCAGTGAAGCTTCCCTGCGTGAGCCGGGTTCCGTCCTCACGAGCTGTGCCACAGCTAGGAGACGACCCTGCACCCATCGCAACTTCTCATCCCTGCTGGAGGTCAGGCCCTCAGTCTCCCAAGGTGGCCCTTCCTGTCCGGGTCCCCTGGAGGCGGCCCTTCACGTGGTTCCAGAAGGAGCTTTGAAAAGTGTCAATGACCTAAAGCCTCGCAGATTTAAAAGCCTCCAATGGCTCACACTAAGGGTTACTCTTCAGCTCAGTGTGAAGGCCGGGGCTCCTCTCTGGCATCACCAACCTCTACTCCTTACCATCCAGGCCTCTCTCCAGACATGCTGAACATGAGCAAATGTTTCATTTCCTACTGACTCCCACACTGCTCCTTCATTCCACTGTTTACTGAAGTCGTCTCTAGCCAGGCACTGAGGGTTAGGGCAAGAGCAAGGCAGACTTGGTGCCTAGCCCCAAGGAGCCCACAGCCTGGTGGGAAACGCAGACGTTAATCAAGTCATGGGTGGACTACAAAGAAGTAAGCTCATGGGCTTGCGTGAGGTGTAGCTGGGTGGCTTTGTCTAGTGTGAGGGGATTCGGAAAGCGTCCCTGAAGCATCATCTCAGCTGAGACTTGGAGAGGAATGGACAGCACGGGCCTGGCAGGAGTCCCTGCCAGTGGGCCCTATAAAGGTAAAGAGGAAGGGGGCCTGGCGGGACTGTGGCAGGGCTCCAACCAGAGGGGTGCCGTCAAGAACAGAGGTCCATGTGGCCAAATGCTGACCTTCCAAAAGGAACCAGAAACCTGGATTTTCATGGAGGCCACTCATTTTTTAAATGCTGCCAAGGAAACAATTTTTTAAATGTACCTGCAGAAAAAAACACTTAAGATCTGCTCATTTTGTGAGTTCAATTTAAAAAAAAAAAAAAAGGTTGGCCACCCTGGCCCTTGGGCTGATAGTTCTTAACTTCTGACTTAGCCGAGTGTCTGGGTGGAGAGAGGCTGGGGGCTTCCAGGCGAGGCCAGTGTTGTGGCAACAGAGAACAACAAAGGAAATAATACAAGAAGAGGTTGGGCAGATGGGCAGAGTCCAGAAGGTGGAGAGCCTTGAGGCCATATAAGGACCTGAACCTCATTCCTCAAGGCAGGAAGAAGCCATTAGAGAGTGTTAAGCTGGGGAGCCACTTTATCAGATTTGGTTTTCTTAAAGAGCACTCGAGCTGCGGGGGAGGGGAAAGACAGCGTGCGTGCGTGCGTGTGTGTGTGTGTGTGTGTGTGTGTGTGTGTGTGTGTGTGTGTGTGAGAGTGTTGGAACCTGTTTAGAAACGAAATGGCATTCAGATAAGACAGACAGACTAGTGGGGCGGGAAGAGAGCGAATTCAGCAGCTAGTTAGGAGGTAAAATCAACAGGAGCCCATGACTCACTGGGTTCAGGTGATGATGGAAAGGGGCCGGCAGGGGCGCGGGGAGCAGCAGCGTGCATTCGGGCCCTGGGGATACTGGTGTAGAATGTCCTCCTGTGTCCACAGTCTGCCGTGGAAGCGCCTACCCCTCTATAACACGAAACAATTTCCGATCGCCAAGGCTTTCCTCCAACTGGAGGCTTAGCACCCCAAGCCTGGGCCCTGTCTTAACTCATCTTTGCAACCGCTGGGCCCAGGTCAGTTCCAGGCCCACAGTGGGTACTTGGCATGGCCCTACCTCATTCCTCAAGGGCCCTGAGGCAGCCTTCAGAAAGAAGAGAAGTTTGATAGAAAGAAAGACCATAGAGGTCTGAAAACCGGATCTGTCAGCTGCCAGTTGGGCAGCTCTGTGCGCCCCCACATCTCCCAAGGCAAGGAGTGTGCAGAGGAAAAAATCCTCAAACTACCCTACGGCTTCACAGTTTCAGATATTCAGCAGCCCTTCTGGCCTTACTGGGTACCCGCTGTGTGGCTCGGGAAGCCATTTATTGCCCTGAGCCCCCTCTTTCTTCAATAGTGAAGTGGCGAGAATGCCTCTCCTGCAGCTCAACATAAGGATCAACTGAGATAATCCAGGCACAGTAGTGGGCACAGCGCCTGGCACACACCAATACTCCACAAATGCTAGTTACTCTCATTGACTGTTATTTGCTCAGATTCTACTTGCTCCAAACCATGTAGTTTTAATTTAATTTCCCAGGTACCCTCAAGGCAGAAAGTCAGGTCGAGCCGACTCTGAGTGAAGGGTGTGCCCAATCCAGATCATAGGAAGAATGTTCCATGAAGCATTTTACTTAATAGCAAGGCTGTTGGTCACTTGAGGTAAAGTTTAGTTTCCTACTTACGAGCTGATGACTAGACTTCAGTGCACCAGGAAGCCCCCCAGTGGCACTGCTGGCACCTGAGGACAACCTCGTCTTGGGTGCTTTTCCACACACCTGCCTGGTCACTCACCAGTTCGGGGCTCTGTGGTTTCCCAAGACACCATGCTCACTTAGGGCTCATGCATTCTGGTGCTCACACACCCCCTTATGTGCTCCTGTCCCCACCCTGGGAAGCAGGCAGAGGAGACCGAGACCCTGGGAACTGGCAGGAGTTGCTCAGCCTTGTGCAGCCCTCAGAGGGCTGCGCCAGATCCAGCTCAGCTGCTGGTTCTATGGCTCAGCCTTTCAGCTCATCCCTGCCGACCTCCCTTAGCTCTTCCTGTCCCTACTGCCCCCGGAGGCCCAAGGAATCATCGCCATGAAACACACAGACTAGGCTGCACACTCATGGGCAGCCCCTAACAGAGCACAGAGCTGCCTGCTGCACCCCAAGCCCCAGCCTTGCAGTCACATCCTCTGCTCCTGGGAGTCGTGGCCAGGGCTGGAGCAGTCACACCACGAGGCTCGGGCAAGTTTGTGTCTGTCCCTGTTTCCAGAAGCCTCCAGGGCATCTTTATCCCATCTCTCGTCAATTCAAGCTCACTCCAAAAGAGTCAGATTTACAAAATAAATGAGCTCCTAAACAGCCCTGGTTACAGCATAATCATCCATCCATAAATAAAACCACATTTTAAATGTACCAGGAAAATTACTGTGTAAGAGAATTCTACCATGACTCTCTTCGAAAAGTGAAAAATTCTTTCATAAATGGAATAATTACTCTCTAATTTATCCCTCATCTAGTTCTGGACACAATTAGCTTAAAGGGACCGTTCGGGCTCTCTTCTAATAGAATCGCTCTTGCAGAACCTCAGTTGATGAGATTCCCATCCCGTCTGTGTGGGCTTTAAATGCTCCAAGGCACTTTAAGTCCGTCCACGCACCCCATCGGGCGAGGGGATGACTAGGGGCTGCAGGCCAGACAGGGAGGCTACCGGTCCCTCAAAGCAAAGACACGCCCGCCTGTGCGCTCTGGGGCTCTGGGGCCCAGCTTCAGGCCTCTGCCATGTCCCCCAACCGTTGCCCCAACCCTCCCACACACCAGCCCCACACTTTCTCAAGGATACAGCATAGCCAGCAGGCACCCAGTGATGAGGCAAGAGGGGAACGAGGACCCCAAAGCCGATCACAGCAAAGAAGAGGTACAGCAGCCAGGCCACGATCTGGAGGGGGTGAGGGGGCCAGCTCCACCCGTTCCGGCGGGACCGCTGGCCCTGCAGCTCTGGGGAGGGCCCGCTGGCCTGCACGGGCGCTGTCCACACACTCTTCTCGGGGGCGGTCTTGTTGGGGGGCTTGTTGCAGACGCTCATCTCCAGGGGGACAAGAGGAGAGCGCGTCACTAGCTGAGCAGGCCGGGGCGGGAGCCCAGAGCCCCATGCCTGCAGCCAGTTTTCAGGAGGCGGGTAGAGAGGGTGGGACATGAAGCCATCCCTCTGCTACTCCCCAGGGGAGCCCAGCGCTCTCGCAAGACAAAGCCGGGGAGCAGCGGAGTGCTGCTCTCCAAGACCCGGAGGAAGCTCTGCAGCCAGGACAAAGTAGGAGGGTCCAGGGTTTATTCAGGACACAGTGTGGCTGCCTGTTACTCAAAATGCTCTGTCTCCACAGCCATCAGAGTTAAACCCAGTAAGACATGTTCTCATCTGGTAACAATATCAGGCTGGGGCCAGGCGATGAGAACACATGCTGATTCTGCTAGAATTAGTCACCTCTGCCCCGAGGCCCAAATGCAAGTGTCAGAGAGGCCCCTTAGCTTTCGTTCAGGGAAACAGGAAGTGGGAGTGCTCAGACCTGGGATCCGGCCCCTGCCCCCTGGCAAGCTGGGGCCAAGCCTGGAGACCCCGAACCATCTCCCCCTGCCTGACCTTCTTGGCTGGGGAGGAGTGAGCACCCAGGAGAAAGGGGACTATTTCTCTTTGGTTCCTTCCAGCAGCTGAAATGACTGTTTCTCTAAATGCCTCTGGGCCGGTACACACTGAACAGCAAGGTGGACTAATGCCCTTTGCCTCGCTTGAGGATGCACAGGGAAGGCCAGGACTCGGCCAGTCAGACCACCAGATGGCAGCACACCCCCACCCCACACAGCTTCCCTCTGGTCTAAGAGCTAGCCTGGTGGCCAGAGTCACACAGAGGGCAGGCGGGGTGGGCCTGCCTTTACAGGAGGGAGAGTCCATCCCCGGGATCTTCTGGGCCTGTGCTTGGACGGGCAGTGCCACACTTGGGGAGACAGGCCAACTCAGAGTTCCTGAAGGGATAGCCAGGAGCTGGGGCTAACACACCAGCAGCCAAACTCTCCTTCCAGAAGCCCAGGCCTGTGGGCCAGTGAATCTGACTAAGCCAAAGGGTATGGTACACCCCCTCACACATCTCCCGGGATCACCTTCCTCACTTCCCACCCCAGCAAAATGTGACTTAACCTTCAGAGCCAAGTGCCAGTGTCTCCTCGTCTTGGAAGCTTTCCCTGGGCCCCAAGGGGAGTCAGGAGGCCTTCATGCTGTCTTTACTGGGTAAGTCACATGGCCATTTGGAACGCTTGACCAGCCCCGTGTCTGTCTCCCTGTTACGTCAGCTTCCCATAAAGCAGCAAATGTGGTATGATTCATTCCCATGTCTTCCTCACACCCGCTCTCCCGAGCACCCAGAACATACCTTGTATGTAGTAGGTGCTCAGTAAATGTTTGCTGACTTAAAAACATCTGAAATGAAAAGAAAATGTGGACACAGTAAATGGTGTAGAATTCTGAAGCCACAGGCCCACTCTGGCCAGCCCTCAGTCCTTCCCCAGGCCCCCATTCCGCACAGCCACCGCACACACCCATGTCTCCCCCGGACCAGCTCCCCCTGACCACTGGCTATTACCCTGACTGCTGGACAGTCACACTTGGCCACTGTGCCCTTCATCCCACCTGAGGCTCAGAGCCACCTGCAAGCAAAGCCTGGCACATGTGCAGTCGCCTGAGTAACCTCACCTCAGGCCAAAATGGAATGACTTTAGTTTTCTCCTAGGAACCTGATTGGAATCCGCAGGTCATTTGCTTGGTCTTCAGTAAAAAAACAGCCAAAGGTGGTGACAAACCAGAGCCCCAGGGGTAGGGACACCTACCTAGGGCTACGTGCAGTGACACCATGGGTGACATCCCACACATAAATGCTTTCTAAATGGCAGGCATTATAATTACCCTAAAAAGAGCCTTCTGGGCTGTCCCAGGGAGGCCAGCTGTCCAGCATCCCTGTGCTTGGCAAGGAGTTGGGTGGGAGATGGAGGTCAGGCCCACAAGCTCTCCTCTTCCCACCTGTTGCCCCCAGCTGCATCTTGGCTGGGCTGAGACAAAGCATTCTTCATCTACTACCTGCTTCCACAGAACAAACTAGAAGGTTAGGCTGGCAGGGATGGAGGGAAGGCAGAAGCAAAGAGGGGCCACTGAGTGTTACGGCCACAGGTAGCTACCGCCTTAGAAAGCCAGGGAGCTACCTGGGTTCTGAGGTGGCCACAGAGTCTGTGCAGGCCACGTCCTTGTCCCCAGGAGCTGAAGGCCATTGACAGCATGACAATAATCTATCATGTTGACATTCACTTGCTAAAGACCGAAATAGCTTTTCAAAATAAGGTTAAACCACATTCATTTATCTGCTTAATTTAAATGAGGGAAATGCCAACATTTTAAGTTCTCACTCTGAACCGTACCTGCTCCCCTCTTGCCTACCTTTGCTCCCGCCAAAAAATGTTTAGGAATGTTCTTCTGAGATTCATGCACAACTCAGTCAAAAGAACCAAATGAGGTAAGAAGTCCCAGGCCGGGAGAGGCTGTGGGTACCCTGCATTCCTGTAAGATGGGCTGAGGGTTTCAGGAAAGAAACCGACTTAATTACTATGAGGGTTGTGAGGGGAGGCCACAGAGCAGGGAGGGCAGAGTGGCGGGGTCAGAGGAGAAGCCACAGGGCTGATGGTGGGGCTCAAAGGCCGGGGGACCGAAGCCACCAAGAGAGACAGCCAGGTTGGGGCCAGGGGGGGAGGGCTTAGACGGCAGACAGAGCC